TTTTCCATGCGTTCGAACCGTGTATGTGTGGTGTCTCCATTTTTAACCTAATGCCGTCTCTGTCGAACTCATTATTGTTATTGAAATAAAAGCATGTGCACAGGGATAGAAATACGCAACCAAACTATAAGATACGACACCAACCAGCTATATTGGCACCGGAATACCGGTTTTCTATTTGGCATTTTAAAAAAGTGTTTCAGCCTTTATCGCAGACAGTATGGGGCGAGCACTTGTGATGGAGGCACATTCAACTGGGGCCATAAATATCTATGCAAATGAAATCACGAATGACGGCGAACTTGAAATGGAAATAATTTCGATTTCCATAATCATTCGTTCGATCCATTTCGAGAAATTTATTTTCGACACAATGAAGCAAAAAAAAAAAAAAAACGAAATGCTTTTATCGGTTTTACTATTAAATGGCCGTTTGACACTGAAATTGTTAATGATGTGCCATTTGACTGTAAAATACGAAGATTAATTGCACCGAACGCAAACAAATCCCCATCTTTCGATAATGACACTTTATGCAATGGGTACACATTGAGTATCGAATACCGTAAAAGTTTTGCCATTTCATCGAAAAACCTTAAATCTTAATTAAATCATTAGTTTGAAGAATAATAAAGTACTTTTGCCATTGTTGATGCCTTTGATTGCAACTTACTAAGAGAACAAAAAACAACGACGACAACAACAGCTATGTGGCTTTGCATCCTTGTTCAATTTCGATGAGTGAATCAAATCAAAAGGAAAAACAGAAGAAGAGCGGAACAAACTATTAGATTTCAATTTTATTTGGTCGCATTTCACATTCCACACAACGAACTGCACGAACGAAAATGTGATTTGTTAACAACGCATTGCCAGTTGCAGTGGCAATTCATTGCCGTAAATTGTCGTCTGTAAGAAATGAACCTCCCTCTAATTTGAGCGTAGCATTTTCAACGAGGGTCTCTCTTCTCTTTTTTTTCTCTCGTTCACCCTGTTTGGAATATTTATGACACCATTAGAAAAATCGCAAGCGCATTTAAATAAATGAATTGTTGACAATCAACAGTCACACAGATTCAAAGCGAAATGAAACAGAAGGGAGAGCGGAAAAAAAATTTCGATACATAAAATAATTTATAATAAAATTATCAGATAGTGAGTCATATCGAGCGAGAGACACCCTCTCATAATCAACTATCTATGCGCTTGCATGCAGAAAGCAAGTGAATACACATGGTCGAACCATTTCATTCCAATCATGTTTCAAACGGAGGGCAGAGTGCACAATTTCGGTACATCATAAGTTCCGTATTGCCATGCAATTGTGTTGTAGTTTATTTACAATTTTATCTTTTGCCTTAATTTGGTGGCGACGGTCGTTATTGCATAGATTGTGGTGTGGCATGATGCGTGCAAGTGTGCTTTGTTTTGTCTCTGCCTGTATATTTTTCTATCAATGTTTTTGTTTCGTTTTTTGTTTTTTTCACATTTTGTTATTTCTTGCACGATGGTCGCTTCATTCATCCGTCATTTTGGGAGATTCGTGTATTTTCAATGCACTTGAAATATGTCATCCATATCCTTTATGTATATGCGTGTCTTTGCGTGCGCGCGCTCACTCGCCGCGCTCGAGCAGCTCCCACAAACAAGTAGTTATTGAAAATATTTCACTCTTTTATTTGGCATGATGCGACCGCTTTCAATGTTCTAATGTATAGCATGAAGCGGAAATCACAAACTGCATGATTTTTTTTTGCATGATGTGGGGGAGTTTCGATGATGATATGCGCATCGAATACAACAACAACAACGACGACGACGACACATTCAAACATTGAGCGATGTTTTCAATAGATTCAAACATTAGATACATTTCGTTGAAAATGCAATAAATCGAGATGAAACATGGCTGGAGAAAGAAAGACAACAGCCACGCACAAACACACACACACACACACAATGCCAAAAATCCATACCAGATTTGAAATGCATGTGATTACTCCCGAATGAACAGCGTTTATGCCATGAATAACATTCACATCTATCGCAGTTTTGAGCACTCTGTTTCTGTCTTTTTCTGAAATGTATTCTCTCGCATTTTACAGTTCCTCACAATATTGCTCGCTTCTTTGTTGTTGTTGTTGATATTATTGTTATTCTTGTGTGCTTCGGTTCTGTTTTTGTTTTGTGCTCATTTTGTTGCTTTGTCTTGCAATGCGCATAATATAACTTTATAAGCGTATAAAATGTGGAATAAATGCGATTGAGTATTGTTTCCGTTTCATGATCAGTGACTGTAACGATGCGCCGATTGAAATGAATGAGCAAAAATGCCCGAACAAACAACGCTTCCATCCAAATAAATCGACTATAATAGTTTCTGTTTTTGAATTGAGGATGTTTTCAGTTATAAATCTTGAATGCAACCATTTATTATGAAAGGAAAAAATGTAGAGAATCATTTCTCATTGTCGTCGTTGAAGTACAGTCGAAATGCAGAGTCGATTGAATGATAAGTCAATTGATAGATATACTCATTGGCCTGGAAAGTGCCTTCCATTTTCACTTTAATTCATCACATTGATTTTCTTTCTTTCTCTCCCCATTTTTGCATCGCTGAGTGTTTATGTTTTTAATAGAAAAATAAAATTTTGGTGAATAGGAAAAAAAGATTTCAATTTGATTTCAAGCTACTTTTCCGAGAATTTTTGCCTTTTTCGCCGCTACATTGAAAACTCTTATTGATCAACATTCAAGAGACACAAATTGAGCTCGAGTGTGAAAGTGAGAGAGAACGAGAGACTTACAGAATCAGAAGCAAGAACAGACATTGTGACCGTTATCAAATACACAAAGTGGCACACACTCTCTCTCTTTCTTTCTCTCGCCTTCGCCAAAAATTAAAACACACAAATTATCGCACAGCTGAATTTTTAATACAAATTTCAAATAATGGACGAAACATGATTCCAGAACCATGCGACACTCCGGTTACGTTGAACAGTGTGTCTATATTCCCTCCATTCGCAATTCATTCAGTGGATCCGAATGGCGAACCTACAAATTTTCGCTCCATTGTAATCGCTTGAATTGAATGTTCATTAATATTTATAAATTTTCGACGAGAGTACCAAATAATCCCGGTCGAATGTATGCATTACAAATGCGTCAGGCTTCCGTTCTATAAGTGACGCACACAGTTCGGTTTACAATGTTTTTTTTTGTTTTTGTTGTGTATTCACTTTGTCATTCAATGCAAGCATTGTGTATTCATCGATAAACGTGAAATATGCGGGACAGAGAGCAGTACATGAACAGCATACATATATAAACAAACGCAACGAAAATGAGAAGCCTGAAAAATTGGCGAAACGTGTAGAAAAAAAAGAACAAAGTCTTTGTTCAAAAAACGACCGTTTTTTGCATATTTTCACAACATATTTATATTGTGTGTGTGTTCTATGTACGGTCTGCCTGTATTATTCCCATTTTCCATTCTGACACTTTCATTTCATCCCGTTCCTGTCTTCCGATGTCATTTTCTAAAGCAATTATTTAGTCACTGATTTATTTATGGACATGGAATAGAATAAAACAAGCTGATGTCGATCAATAATATTTATGAATATTTTATGAGAAATTCCGTTCAACTCTCTACTACTTTGTACTCTTGAAATACCGTTTTTTACGCTGCTGAACTGACTACAATTTTCTAGGGGTTTTCATGTAAGATTTTCTTTCACGAATTCGACGAATAAACAACAGTATAACAAATAATACAAATTTTTACAAATCATGCAAATCTTTACCGATTTCACTATTTTGTGTCAAAAATCCACCGATATTCGCCGATATGCGAAGTGTCTTTGTTCTGGAAGTGGGCTTTGGTGGATCCTAAGGATCGTTCAGAACCGCTCCCAGGTCTGGAAGTGGACCCTCAGGATGGGTCAGGGCATTGTCAAACCATGGTCTGGTCCATCCAGAGGATCCACCAAAACCCACTTCCAGAACAATTAATTATCAAAAAATACCCGAATATTAACGATATTTTACAAATATGCCGATCTTTCACCGATATGCCAATATTTCACCGATATGCCAATACGCAACGATAATACGCAAATATCATCCAATAAAAATACATGCAAACCCCTAGACAATTTTGCATTGGAAAATGGAAGAAAAAAAATTGCCTGTTTTTTCACCGGCACTTCATTCAGAATATTAAATGAATTTTGCGTTTCGATGATATGTTTTGTAGTATGAACGTGAAAACATAATTAAATATACCTAGAAACGAATTTGATCATCACAAAGTGAAATAGGTTCAAAAATGCTCTTTTTGAGTGAGCATGGAAACGAAAAAAAAACAATAATCATTTTGACATCATACATTTAGTCGAAAGATACTGTTCAGCAAAACGGAATAAAAAAAACATTTACTGCAGATCGAATCAAAATAAACCAAACACGAATTAAAAGCAATTAATTGCTTTGACACAGCGAATACGAAGAAGAAACAACACAAATTCGATACGCAAGCCACCTGCCAGCGATTGAATTTTTGATGATGCTTTGCATCAACATTTGTGTGTGTTTTTTTGATTGACATTACAACTTAAAGATACGGTAATTCGTTTCGAAAACCGGTTCATTCAAATGTTCCGTAGCCAATGACCACAACGGCAGTTCATCAATCGATTCACTTGCATTTCCTTTCAATCCTCTTTTCCCTTTTCTCTCTCTTTTTTCTTTGTGGCGAATAATCTCAAGCGCCAATTTTATCGCCAAAAACACACGCACAACCTTTTATGGTGCGTAAAAGTTCGACCATTTTTTCCCCTTTCAATACATACAACACAAGCATCAAAATTCTTTGGTTTTTTGTTTTGAAATATTTGCATTCACTGACTTGCGTACACGACACCGGTGTCTTTAATTCGATCGAAAATTATAGATGTTTTTTTGCTTCACATCTACCATTGCATTTGTATTGAGAACGTATGTATTGTACATTTGGAGAGAGGTGAAATTTGATGAACAAGCGATGTATAATTATGCAGTGTGCAAAGGCAATTAGGTTAGATACCATTGGAAACAGATATACAGAGATTGGCATATGTTTATCTGGACTTTTAATTCGTTACAATGGACGCTCAAAGCACTAATTATATTATGTTTTTGTACGTGCATTGAAGTGACCACTTTATTTTTTTGTTGCACTGCTATAACCGTGGTTAGTTAAAAAAACACACACAAAAACTGCGTTTGATGTCCATTTACAGTAACATTCTTATGCAATCAGCTCTGTGTTGTCAAAAGACGAAAATAAAATTCCGTTCCGTACAATGAGATTCATTCAATTATTTCTAAAATAATCATCGTTCAAGTGTGATGTGTTGGTCCGTTTTAAAATAGCCAATATATTGGAAAATCTGTCGCTGAATTAAAATTTAAAGACAGTGAATGACAACGATTGAACTACAAAACATTTAAATTTGAGACACAATGTTAAAGTGGCCATTGACATTTGACAATATGAAAAATGGTTTTGAAAATTGCTTCACAATATAATTAATTAAGTGAAGTATTGGTATGCTTCGATGAAAACAAAATTGATCACAGCTACAAGTGTCTTGAATTTATTTGTAAATCATACGAATTTTGTTTAGTCTTTCATATTGTTCATTCTTTGAATGAAACACTTTCAATGTTAGTTGGTCGTCTGCTGGTGAAATCAAGGGACAACACTTCACGATTTTAAATGTGTTGTGGAAGAGACGAGAAGAGTAGAAAAGAGAGAGAGTGAAAAATTAAACAATTTTCAATAACAAAAATATTCAATTGAGTAGTCATTGAAATCGTATCGATTTTTTTTTTTTTTTTTGAAAAAGTAAATTCGTTCAGTTGAATTGAATCAGTTGTAAGTTGACATTCGATTGACTATGGTCATTGAAATCAATTTTTATAAGTGAATTTCTTTTCGTTTTATTATTTTCCATTTAATCAGAAGAAGAAAAACAAGAATGGCCAGAGTACCAAACGGTAAATATATAGCGCCGGCATCACCTCAACCATACGAATCATCTGAAGACAATGAACCTGACTTTCTGGGCCTTCCACTGTCACATGAACCAAGTGAATCTGACCAATCATCTTATGACACTGTTACTGACGATCGTGAACGATCTGATGATTCAGACGAGTCCTATCGAGGGCCTCGAGGAAATGTAACAATTGTAAATATATTACGAATTTATTTCAATTATCAACGAATAAGCTGACAAAAAATGAATTTGATAAAATGGAATATTTTCTGTTTCATTTTTTTTTGTTCTAGAATAGACCAAATCGACCTCGACCATCACCGAAAAAGATTCGAATCCGACGCGGAGCTCCACCATATATAAAGACTATGATAAAATTACAAAATTCCTATAATTTGTTGATTCCTCGCTTGCCCTTTCAACGATTGGTTCGAGAGATCATGCATGAGCGAAATCCAGAACTTCGTCTTCAATCAACTACATTGGAAGCATTGCGGGAAAGTAGCGAAATGTTTATGGTTTCAATTCTTGAAGATGCATTCCTTCTTTGCCTTGAATGCAAACGTGTTACGGTAATGGATACAGACTTCAAGACGTTGGCGGCCGTTGACCAATCAAGACGCCCTCTTATGGGTATCTAATTAAATTATTGTCAAACCATAGCATGCTTTTTTGCTTTCTTAAATCATGTCAAGTTTTATTTTGAAAAATCATATTGAGATTAAAACATAAAAAAAGTCCAAAAATAAAAGCCAAAATGTATATGAATATTTGACGAATGTGTGTTGAATTGAATTACTATGAATATATAATGATTGTGGTAGATTAAATGAATTTTTGTAGCAATGTGTGTGTGTGTGTGCCATAATTTGTGATCCTTTGATAAATTTTGTGCTCTCATTTATCGCTCACTTAAGATCCATTAATGTGCTAATTTATAATTTACAATTGCGCCGTTCCACTGAAACCGTGTGCACAAAGCAATAGTGGTGCAAAGAGCCAAATCTATTGCATTATTTGGCATGTGTGCATATATGTGTATATGTGTGTGTGGTGACATGGTAAGTACTTTGTGAAATTAATCCATGAGCAATTTGTTTTATGCAGCATCTTGATCTTTGGCACACAGTCTGTATTGTGGCATATAGCACACCGTTTTTCTATAAAGCCTGCATAAAAGTGAGAAGGAAATGTTATCGTATCGCGCACACACACACACAATACGCACGCATACACATCGACCAACCAATAAAGTTCAAATTAGCCTGCGTTCGGCCACAAATACACAAGCACACATTGTATACACGATAAAACTCGTCTTGTACAAGCAAACGAAACGAACAAGTGAATGACTTACATTCGCCAATACACACTTTATACACGATATGCGGGAATAAGAATGAAAAGCTGCCGTACACACACAACAATGCAACAAAGACGAAACGGCTTGATAACCACAATGCCTAGAAAATTAATTTTGATCTTGATGCTGCGATAAAAAAGATAAAACATTTTTCGCCCATTGTTTATGTGCGAATGTGACGAGCCGTCTCTCGCAATCGTTGGTTCACCATATCCTTTGTTGTGTATGTGTATGATGTTGTGTTTTCGTACATTCTTTGCTTTAGTTTTATTTTTATGCTGCTATTATACAATCTTAAAACCATATCTTGATATGGCCACTCGGCGGCGGTTCGGTACAAAGTTCAACCAGAGAATATGAACTATGGCAAATTGCAACAGCAACATAGTCGTTGTCGCACACATACACACAACGAACAGAGATTACGTTTTTGCCCATTTATTTTCATTTTGGGTGACAATGTAACACAAATAGAGGACTAAATGCATTCAAGAATATGGTGTGCGTTTCAACTTTAGCCACATGCACATTTGATTCGCCAACACGGGCAAACAATGTTGTCTTTTATTTCTCATCTTTCGCTCACTCTCTCGCTTCCTCACAGTTTTGGTAGGTCTTTCGTTTTAGTGAACCGTGAGTGTTCTTGTGTTCTCTTTTCTCTTGTTACCAATCTAAAATTCGATCTGGATTCACTTATCGGGGGTTTATATGCAACGCAAATTTTCAACGTGGCAATTTAACATTTTATCTGCACCGTAAACATATTTCAAGTGAAATGTATGCGATTCCAGCGCGTTCATATTTTGCCGATTCATTTTCATGGCGAACATTCATTTCTTCTTTTACTTATTGTTGTTGGTGGCACTGCCATTCATGTTGTAGCGAAACAAAAAACGATAAAGCACGTTTTCTTAGCGCAATATCATGTGTGTCTGTGGTGTTGCTGGTAAATGCCCCGTATCTCTTGCCCTTAAATCCTTTTTTTTTTTCGTCATCGTTGTCGCCGTTTTTCTTTTCCTCTCTTCTTTTTAGCTAGCGATCCACCAAAGTCCATATATTTCGTCGTTTCGTACACTGCATCCATTTAGCGTCTATTGCATCGCATAGCAAGTGCATTGTATTAGTTTTGAATTGAAATTCGGATGCACAATGGAAATGCATTACATGTCTTTCCATTCACATCGGAAAATTACGTTCTCAAACTGATTGTTTTATCCATAACAGATAGATAAGGGTAAGTGAGAGTAAAATAGCAAGAGAGAAAAAAACACATAGAAAAAACATTGCATCCGTAAAATGTTTACAAGTGAAACGATTCACTTTTCAGTTATTTATACTATTTGGACGCAAGCAAATCTGTATGCTATTTATGTCAATCTCAATATACATGTGATTGTGTCAGAGCATGAAAGAAAAGAAAGGCTAAGATTCGTCTGAAAATTGTGCAGCACACTGAATGTTTTTGTCATCATTGTTATATGCATACCTTGTTGGTTCGCATCTCATCTCTCATTGTGAAAGACGTAACCAAATGTTTTAGCAAGATTTTATGCCAGTGCATGTATACTGCATGCCCATGTATTTGTTTAAAATATAAACAAGGATTCATTGTTTGCAAAACATCATATTCGAAAACGAAATACGTTCTCGTTCTCTCTCTCTCTCTCTCTCTCTCTCTCTATTTCATTCACCATGTCGTCTTCATTCTGGATTTTTTTTTTGTACCGAGACACACATATCATGAATCAAACCATTTAGAAATGACACAAACTGCCATCATTACATCCAAAACGCTCTATGTATGTGATTTCATTTTGATTCGTCACTTACCACTTTCTGAAAACAATGCAAATGATTAGAGTAATCTAATGTCATGTTCTGTATGTGTATATATTTGGGATGCGACAATGATCTTAATACAAACATCGTTGCTCGACTTGCGCACTTTTTTTATGATTGTTTTTTTGTTGTTGATCTCCATGCAGTCGGTTGGACATAAGTGTGAGTCGATTCAACAAGAACATGCTTTAAAGCGAAGCAACAAGAACGAACGATTTCAACATGTCTCAGTTTTGGGTTCTCTTTTCGTCACACATTTGAATTTTTGAATCCACTCGCTCTCTCTCTCTCTCTTTCTGACACTGAGTGCCGCTATGCCGATTATGCCACCGTTTATATATTATGCATGACGGAAATGCGATGCTCAAATATTAAATTGCATATTTCATTCTCTCTAAATGCTGTCGTTATCTCGCTAAACTCTTTTCCAATGTGCCTACCATTGTCTACGTGCAAATCTTTGTGACATGTGTTCTTTTTGCTTTTGTTTAGTGATTTTTGTGAAAAAAAGCCCGTTTGTTCTCGATCCTTTTGCGTATGCTTTGAATATTTATATTTTTTATCGTTCTCTCTCTCTCTCTCTCTCTCTCTCTCTCTCTCTCTTTGTTGTTTTTCTTTTATTCTTTGACTCAATCCGTTGTTTCTGTCATTATAAATGACTGCAAACGCGCATTGCTTTTTTCCTCCTTCAAATATCTATCCTTGATTATTTGTATTTGCTCGGTTGTATATACAAAAGTGAAGTGAAAAAAAATGCTGGCAAAAAACTACATGTTGCTGTGATATGCATACCCAGCTACTTCTTATACAGCCATAGCGCACAAATGAATGACACATTAAATGAAAAAAAACGCCACCATCAAAACATACCCAACACGCAAAATTCACTCACAATCAGTCAGTAACAATAATAAAACAACCAAAACACAGTGAGAGTGACAGAGAGGGAGATTTTGAAGAAAAAAAACATTTGAATGTTTATGAATTTTTCGTTTTGATTCTCGTTCAGCAAAACAGGCATATTCCATTGTTGAAGGAGAATGAAAAAGAAAACTATACACTTCTTTTCTTTTGTAAAAGAAAAATAATTTGATGCGAACAAATGAGTGATGCATTATTTAAAACGCTTCTATTAATAATAAAATAGTGCATCGAACGAAATGGAAAAATATTATTATTATTGTTTGTATACAAATACATTTTACAAAATAGATCCATCTGAAACAGACATTGAACACATACTGTGCAGAGCACGAGCATGATGCCGTCGCTGTAACTGCTGCCGTCGGCGGCGGCCGATGATGGATTCGGTGTGGGTGCGCGCGTACACGATGCACAATTCGCTAAGTAATTAGAACAGAGATATGCTATAAATATAATTGCGTATGATTTCGCGTATTTGTAATTACACTGATTGCATTATAAGTAAATAGAGAAATTGGGTTTTATTGTGTTCGTATTTCATTTGCAGATATTGTTATGTTATGACACATAATTGCATGCACACGAAAATAAATGTGTTTGTCTTAACATTGGGCTCAATTTCATAATTAACCTCACACTATCGCACCGCACCGTACCGCCCCCCCCTCTCTTTTCAAATTTTTATTTGTTCCCTTTTTTTACTTTATTTATTTGATATCACTGTTATTGACACCACCGAACGCCCGATACAAACAAACACAACAAATTAGCTGCAAACCATTTGCTTTTATCGGTTCTGGTATCAGTATGAAATTAAAATTTCGGTGAAAAGAATCAAAGTACAATCTGATCTTTCTTAACATTAGAAAAATCATATGCGCAAATGAAAATATCAATTTGTTCCGCTTAATTTGACCAAATTGTGTCGCTCATTATCGATGATATTTGAATTTAAACACCAAACTCCGTATCTTTCCCCAATGCTGATTTCTTTAAAACCGCATGATAATATGTTTTTCTTTTCACAAAAAAGACATTTTTATTCCCATTCATCCGTTGATAATAATAGCATTATCTGAAATGAGTGCATTTATATCAGTGTGAAAAGTAATGAAATCCCATTTGCTGCCGTCAAACCGCACAACGGTCTCTATTCATTGGAATTGATGAATCGTTGCCGCGAAATAACCACAAAAATGACTCATAAAATAAATCAATAAAACTAGTCATCCAATGCCGCTCACCCTGGAAAAAAAAAACATTTTTTTCATCGTACTCTGTTTCGTGTATGGATACATTTTGTGTACTTGGAAAAACATCAAAATCTTTTGCATTTCGTTGGCGGCGTAGAGAAATCGATATCCTTTTCTTTTTTTCGCATGACACATGTGCCAAAAAAAAAACAACACCAAATTCAATGCACACTTTTATCATCGTTCGTCTTAAGAAAAATGGGCAGCAATTTCACAACAACAATATAAATAAATAAAAAAAAACAAAATGCGATAAGCATGCAAACAAACAAGAAGCAAGA